CTTTCAAGCTTCCTCAGGCCAGTTTCAGCTTATTTTGAATAATAAATTATCTCTGCTTTAAGTAGAAAATGTTTTTCAATATTTACGCGTTCCTTGATAAAAAACAATACTTTGTCAGCTTCAATAATAATTTCTGAATATTTGATCCTCTCGATGATTACGAGAATATTTGATCCTCTCGATGATTTATCGAACAGTTTCATAAAAGTGCCTTCGCTTTGTTTATAGAATTTGTTATTAAAATAATTGAAGAGAGAAACGAGCCCTTCCGAAAACGGATACTTAAAAATAGTATCAGCCCGTTGGTTAATCGATACGAACGACAGAATTTTATTCCCTGGCTAATTTCATCTGAATGACGTAAAGGCTACGTAAAATGGAATGCTTATAAAAAAAAAAGGGATATTTTTTCAAAGTGTCGCAATTCAAGCAGACCAAATCTTTCCCACCATTTTTCCACCGACGCGACGTCCTTTCGACGCGAGTGCGGAATCTCAAGCGACAAAGTGTGTCGCGTACTCTTTTACAGAGAACAATTGATCCCGGGAACAATCGCGACCATGCCGGAAGCCAGGTCGCTTTCTCAAGTTTCCCACGAAATTTCAGATAGTAGGCTCCGTTGGTCCCTCGATTAATAATTCGATCCTCCCTCCCAAAATTGACGAAAAAACGATACCATTCGTGATTTGTTCGAAGAAGAATCAACTGAACGTAGATAGAATTAAGTAGAAATTAAATTAAAATTTGTAATCCACTTAAAAAGTTTGAACTTTATTCGTTTTTTTCTCGTAAATCAAGGTTTTCACACGCGAACGATAGATTTGTGCTGCTCCAGTTTCATCGACCAGTTTCTGTTTTCTTTTTTCTTTCAAAAGACAGTCATCCGCGGAAAGAATCGTTAGCGACCTCCTCGTAACAACAAACACAACGGAAGATATTCCCTTCCTGGCCGGATTACGACCTAGAATCTTGTACGTATTTATAACCTCGCGATTACACGTCAGTTTCACAGCGCGCTTCGGCGCGTCGAGTCCTTCAAGGATTCATGGCCAGCAGAAGTTTTGTTATCCTCGTGCTCGACAGTTTCGATCTTCCCGTCACTTTGTCACCGTGGATTCAACGCATAAATTTCCCTGGTGAATTTATAATTCCACGTCGAGCTGGCTGTTTCTTGCCTCGACGACCACGATATTTATTGTCACGACCATCGCAAATGAATTTCATCGTAATGAAGCGAGACCAGTGAAGAATTTCCTCCTATCCACCTGGCCTTCCACGATTCACGGTCAGATATCAAACTTTTCATTTTCAATATAACCATTTACCATATTGAACCATTCCGTACCACAAAATCTTTCGATTAAAAGTAGCGCGTACTCGAATACTTTACGTAAGTGAACAATTTAAATCGTTCTGTATTTTGTGGAAAAATCGGGTTGATTGAACCTCCGCCGACTCATTTGCTAATTGGCACGTCGGATGAAAAGCGGTGTTTCGAGCGAGGGGGGTTTGGAAAAACGGTGGAACGAAGGGGGTTGATTGGCGGCGACAATCGAACTTGGATCGTTTCGTCGAATAACGTGGGAGTTACATTTACGCCCCATTTTCGAGGGAATCGTTCCTCGAAGGAACAATCGTTAGCTGGTGTGGTCGTGTAGCTAGCGCGACGTGCACGAGAACGAGGATGGTGCCTCAGTTTGGGGGCGGACCTCGTTGCAGGATGATATATCCGCAGCAGCGGACGGGAACAGTGAACGTGTTGCAGCCACGGACGCGGCGCACGGTCATCCCTTTGCTTCCACTTCCGGTTTAATCGTTAGTTTTTTAATTTCGCGTTTTCATTGCGCCTCAGACCGTGAACTGGTGTTACGCTTTCGAGCTGGGTGACAGTGAAGGCTTAGACAACTTGTTCTTTTTCTTTTTTTTTTTTTTTTTCAAACAAAATTAAGAGTTGTTGAAATAGTATCGAAAATTTGGTGATTTTTCTATTAGATTGTGCTTGAAAAAACAAGTTTTACTTGGTATTCCATAAAATTGAGGGTTGTTGGCGATTTAATAATTTTTTTTTTTTTATGAACAAGGTACTCTTTCAAAAGTTTGGGACACAGTGATATAGATGGTAATGTTGTACACGGTGTTATATTCATATTTTGCATCGTTCTAAGAACGAAGAGAAAGTTGTAGATTCTGGTGACCGTGAGGTAATGGTTAACTCGTTTGCATCGGAAGAGGATAAATCTGTTCATTTCGCTGGGGTATTATCATGAAAGCGAATATATTCGCGCAGTCGAGGTTAACTCGATGTATAGAAATTTATGGCTACTCGTACAAGACGCTAGAGATTCAAAGAATATATTTCATTGTATTAAATTTCTTCTGGAGGATTATTTTAACTTCTTGTGTATGAAATTTTGCACATTAATTTCCATCTACGAAACTAATACGTAAGTTGAATTAAAAGCATCGAAAATACATTGAGATAAAACGTGTCTCGTAAATTTCACGCGTTCTCTTTAAGGGTTCCAAACGGTCGACCAACATCGGCTGATAATCCCCGCAGATAGTTTTTTTTCCTTTTTCCCCGATTGAATTAAACACCGATTCTCATCGATTCGGAGCCGCTGCCAACTCCTCTTTCCAAGATCCACCGAAATATTTTCACGCGGCTTGTTAGTTATTCGGGCCGCGTACGGCGGTAACTACTATTAAAGGAAAAATGTGGATTCGACGGTCGTTCGATGCTTTTCAAGCTTCTACCGCAGAGAAGTTTGTTGCTTGTTATCGAAAGACTAACTGCACGTCAATAAAGAAAGACAAAGTAATTGTTCTACATTCCCGATGTTGGTTCTTACGTAGAATCGTCAGGTTTTCGTTTGCAGCATCGGTTACGTGACAACCTATATTCTCTGCAAGACTTTAGGGAATCTCGTTCTCGTGTCCTCGAGGAGTCGATACGCATCGTTAGGATCGCAGGCCGCGATTCCTGCAGTCGAAATTTAATTGCATCCTCGACTACGGCTCGCAACCGAGATACGTGGTGTCGCATTAATACCATCTTTCCACGGCGAATTAGGAGACGTGCAAGCACATAGATTATCCTCGAGCACTTTCACCAGAAATTGAAATTTAATTCAATTCCTCAGGGGGTGTACATTGTCGTTCACCGCACCTTATGGAACTTTGCCACTACCGATTATTTTATTATTTGCAAGGCTATCATTGATACGTCAAGAAGTTTGATTAATTTCATCGTTCGCTTGGCAGATTAATTAAACCTGTTAATTTGAATTGGAATTTTCATTAAAAAAAGAAAAGAAAAGGAATGGTTTTATTAGTAGGGTAGAACGATATCGTTAGCGACCCCTATTCGTTCGTTAGAACGAAATCGAAGGATCAACGAGGCGGAAGGCAATTACATCTTACGATCGAGCGCAGCCGAAATGCCGCGCGTCCGTGCATTAATTCGCGCGCGCGTGCACGACAATAGAGCTGACGGCGCGTGCACCCTTTACTCTTCCGTTCGTAACGTGAACACGTTAATCCGCCAAATTTATCCGCTACACTCGTGTTTTCGGCGAAGAATTCCCTTTCGACTATCAATTTCAACAGAAAAACCGAGCTTATTCAAGATATCCTAACGATCCTTTGAAACTTGCTTGTTTCACACGATCGCGTGTGGTACTTTGAGAATTTCAAGCAATTTACTCGACAGGAGTTGCAAGTTTCCTAGTAACACGAAAGAATTCTTAAAAATCCGGGGAGATTGATTAACATTGATTGGAAAGCATTTGCAAAGAATAAGCTCTCTGACCTACATACTTGGAAATTCAAAAGTTGATTCGAATTTTGAAATCGTACCAAAACGAATTCGTCGCACAAACACCATAAAAATTGAAGAGATACATCGAGAAGGACAAAGCGATCATAAATTTCAGTATCGCGGACAGCGGTGACCGAATTAGCTATCTTTGTATTTCGTACTTATCCTAATTTCCCAGGATAACTGTTTCCACAGGATTACATTTTCAGTCAGGAATAAAATAATGCTCTTGAATTTTTGCTTCTCTTGAATCGGAGTAGCTTCGTAGAAAACAAGAAATTGTGTCGTCTTACAAAAATACGCTTTTCAACTTCCGTAACAGCTAATAAAGGCGTCCAATCTCGGAGGAAAGCGGAATGAAAATAGATTTTCCCTTGAAACTAAAGAGGGGACAAAATTCCCTCAGTTTCAGCCTATGCGCCGGACTAAGCTAGTTGAGAATCTCTTGATAGAGAAATAATTGTCCTTAACTCGGCGAACTTTTCATTTATCGAGGACGACGTTATCGCTAACAGCGGTAGCAGCAACAGCAGCTCGAGGCTGAAATCTCGTTCGTCGAATTTCTGTAACCGGAGGGTGAGCAGTGTAGCGTGCATTTTCCTGAAGGAAACGCTAGCGGCAACGTGTGTGTGCTCGTTCTAGACACGCTGGATCGACGACGAAGCGGATTCGCGACCAGAAGCGATTCGATTCTGTCGAATTCTACTTGCCTCCCCGTGATTTTAGCCTACGTCGACGAAAACTTGTCACGGTCGATCGACTCGCTGCTAGATTGTCGTAAAGTCGACAACTTTTCGATCAAAGTGCCTTCAACCTCACTTTGCGTAACATTTTTGAAACACCCTCTACACGTCCCTGCTACTCGAATGGTTGGAAACGACACCGTCTGTGATATTCCTTATTTTCTTGGAGAAACTTTATAGCACCCCCGTTATCAAGATCGAGGTAGATTTTTTTTTTTTTTCATTCGCGACGAACGATTACTTCGACGAGCGCGTCAAACCGTGGCGGCAATTACTGGACGACATTTGTTACGCGTCAGGTGTAGCGTTTTTAACGTGGCGTGCAGTATCGCGAAAATAATTGAGGCCTTGATACGGCTAGTAATTACGTCCTTTCGCTGGAACAGAGTATGGATTTGCCTTGAGTCTATCGAGAGTCTATTTTCCGCGACGTACAGTCATTTCCAGTCGAATGAAAATCTTCGGGTCTGGAAAAGTCTGGGTGAAAATTCAATAAAAATGATTAATCTACTTTTCTTATTTAATGGAGATTTGCCATTTTTCATCGTGCTAATTTCTAAGGACGTAACCAAGACTGTCCGTGTAACTTTTGTACCACTAATGGACGCTTAAGAGTATATACATATTCCTTTCGTACATATTAATAGACGTACGAGAGGGTGTGTATAGGAGCCCCTTAGTCAAAGGATTAAAGTGGCACATCCTGTCGGCAGGCTGGTTTGTTTGGGTTCTCATGTAGCAGGCTACATCGATAGATTGCCTCTGTTTATGAAGTCGCTTGTAGAAGGCGGAGCGAAGCGAGCAAAGCACGTGGTGCTCATGGAACGAAGAACTCGTCGTGCCTCAGTTACCTTTCGACCTGTCAACAATAGACGTTCCGCGTCGCTCGCTTCTCTCTCCAACCGTGCCGTACGAGCCTCGTTCAGTGAAAGTGAATCTTTTCTCGCGTACGGTACACTAGTTTCACCGAATGCTTTTATTCTACTGTGGATACCACGTTCAATTGTTTTATCGCATTGTAAAGTGACCGTAAAACTTCGTCCGAAGTGTGCGAGAAGATGGTGAGATAGTGTTTACAAAGTGATAACATCAGTGAAATAGGCCGATTTTTAACAAATTTTCCATAAATATCATCGAGGATATCAGTGTTTTACATTGTTTTAATCTGATACTTAAAAAGATTAACTTACTTTCATGGTTTGTCTAGAAATTGTTTACCGCAGTGGTAGCACGTATCGAGCCGCGTTTTCCACGAAACGACAGCCAATTTATTTGAAACACTTCTTGACAAAGGCACGGCAAAAGTGCCATGCTGTGTCTCGTACGGAGTCGTATCGATCACGGTACCTGAACTACGTGAAATGATACGAATATAAGTTTTACTTTTTCGTGGTAAACGTTCCGTTCGTTGAAGATTCTTCCGAGCTCTCGTGCTCGATTAATATATGGCTCTATCGTGTTTCAAATACTCGTGAATCTTGGCTTCGACTCGTGTACCTACATAATGCAAGCAGCGTATCTAGTTAATATTCTTTCAAGCTCTCGTGTTCTCGTAACGTATGATTTTATAGAGCTCCAAATACCAGAGCACTTTGGATTAAGTTAATGTTTACACACGGCGTGAACGTCATTTTTTATTTAAGATTCTTTCAACCTCTCGTAGTCGTGGAAAATGCGACTCTATTGACTTTAAAATATCCAAATATGTGAGCGTTGGGTTGATAGTGCAGTTTTCTAGCAATCTATCTTTCGCAATAGTCTACTTTGAATCACATTCTTGATTTCAAATAGTTCACTGAGGGATCCGAAGGAGATGGTTGTTAGTTTGTGACTGATATTCTGGATGACGGTCCATTAATTATGCTCTTGCTGCTAGAGTAACGAGGTCGCGATGGTCGAGTGGTTTCTTTAACGAAAACCCAAGCCTCAAAGTGATATTTTCCCGTTGATCAACGCGATCAGACACCTTTGAATATCTTCTCGACGCTGGAGTTGAATAAAATTCGAAAACAAGAAACAGAATATTTTACTGTGATATCTTTTATTACTGCTGTTCTAGCGTGGAGAACACGCTTCCAAAGCGTGGAAAAATTGCAATAAAATAGAGTGTAATCAGTATCGTGAACAGTTAAATTCAAGGAAGGATTGGTTGAAAAAATTGCAGGTTTTCTACATAATGTGCACGTAACGTTTCATCGAACGACAGTCGCGTGAGTGGAATCGATGGACGAGAGGCCACGTTTATCGCGATCCGCTCATAATCGTGCTTGCAACCACATTGCCGATCGAAAACCGGGACAAATGAATTCCTCGAATTTCTTCTCCATACTCGTAAAATGAATCTCGCGGCCAATTCGACGCGACGTAACGATGTCCAGTATTCGCGGATCGTTTTTCATCGCTTTCGAATCATTCTCGACCGAATTGTGTGCCAAAATCGGTTGTTCGAATTAAACGACGGAAGAACGACGATTCGGGGCTGTTCTCGTTTCCAGAGATTGTTTATGACGCTTGCTCGTTACAGAATTTTATTCAGTTTTAAACGATCCCGTCAACTACCCTCGATTCAGCATGAATTTACACTCTAGAGTTTGCAATAACAATCGCCTTTGTTACCTAAACTCCTTAACGAGTTTCTTTTCGAGCGTAGACTAGAAATTCTGACAGCCTTCTCTGTTACCCAACGCGTTTCGAACTTTGTCAACTCGCAATAATTCGTTCTTCCGGTATCAGACTGATCGATGAAACGAGCTAACGAGAATCGGCGAAAATTCGGCTCGACCGTGGACCACGCGTAACGATCCTTGGCCCTTCGAATAGTTCACATCCGGTCGAGTGAACGGACAAACGGAACGTTTCGTGCTCGGTGATTGTCGAGATAATACGACGCAGTGTGTAAGAAGAGGAAGATAATACGAGACGAAGATCGAAGGGAAACAGGGATGTTCGACCTTGGTGGAAGCAGATCTCGAGGGTTATTTTAAAAAAAAGAGGGACAAGGCCGCTTATGGAACGGCACGATCAGAAAGGTTCTCAGCGAGGCTGAAGCAGCCTGAGAATCGAAAGGTAAATAAGCGCGTATCAGGTAGATACCGGATGACAGCGGAAACGAAGGATCCAACGAGTTTGTAAATCTGTTGGACGAGGTATTATGAACCTAGAATGGACATCGAGTTCTCTGTTGCCCGTGGAGATTGAGGTATGGCCGCGGTAGCCGGCATCTATGGATTCGCTGAGGACCGACACGTCAGACATACCGAACATCGCCAGCATCCGTGAGTTTCACGTGAAACACGTGATATCTCTTCGACCGATAAGCTTACCTTTTCACAGATTAATCAATTTAAGAGGTTAGACCACCTTGATTATTAAGCTTGTAAAGATATTGTATTTTCGTAAAATTTATTTCTATGTCTTCAAGGTGGCCTAATCCCTTAAGCCACAAATGACCGAGCTTCGCCTACATTTCTTTTTATACAGGATATCTATAAATTGTTACTTTTGTACCCTATTTCCTGTGGCTGTGAATCACTCGGATCTGGGTTACATCGCATGTTGTATCCTTGGAAATGATCCGAACCATCCGTTAATTGGAAACGAGAATGTTTAGTACAGATTTTATCCACGATAAGGTAAATTGTACGAGCCAACGAGTACGGTTTAAAAAAAGAGAGCAGAGAATTATTAAAAATTAGCGTAGCTATTAAAGTTGACGAACACGTGGCATGAAGTTGCGTTTTCAAGCAATTCGCACGGCGTTCCCTTTAGAAACTCTAACGAGGACTTTCTAACTCAATAATGCAGCAACAATTCTCACAGCGATACACGTGGTTGGGGTTGAACTCGCTTCAGACTAATTCTTTGTCAGTCACCTTAAGTCTATAGTCGTGACACGCTTCGTGAACAAAACAAACTGTTGCCGTAGCTTAGAATCGATTGTCGAGCTAGAAACTTATTGTTAGTCGTGAACAAAATACCTTTCTATTAACAGGGGTTATGTGTTTTTTTAGACATTCACCTTTATTGTACATTTCCCTCCAATTTAAATGAATTCTAAATCCTTTAAAGAAGCATTGTTTCAGATCATTATTTCTTCTTGTTAACCCTTTAACTGCAGGTATTTTTAGCACAGCCGATTACGTTCTAATTTTAAGTTATATTACTGAAGTGATATTCTATTTTAAAAGATTTTTTTTATTGTATTTATTCTATTTTTATTTTCCTGGTATATAAGCCACAGCCGCTATTTGATATTAGCAAAAAATTAACATGTTGTTTATATACCACACCCGCCTTTGGCTATAAACCACACCCGCAGTTAAAGGGTTAATCCTAACAAGATTTATCTCCGTTTTATAGCTTTTCGGTGTGGGTCTATTACTCGTTGAATTTTCTATCATCCAAAGAGTTTTCAGTTGGAAAGTACAAATGATAGAGTCAATTTTGCGGGGGTTAACTTTACGAGCCTCGTGTTTTATTGCTGTTCGACTGAAGAAGTCGGAACTGTTACGGTTTTCAAGACATAAATCCAGATTGATCGTTTCTTTCTTACCTCGGAAATAAGAGCAAGTACGGTTATCATTGGCAACGGACAATCATTGATCTTGTTCCAAACTTTTTCTTCCGACTAACCGTGGCTATTGTCGTATCTCGTTATTTGCATTTTCGTCTTGCCAAGACACACGCGATTAACGTCCCCTTCCCGTATCATTAATTATTCGAAACTACTACTTGCTGACATTCTTATGTAACATAATATTGGGCCAAAAGTATCTGCGATGAGTAACCAATCGATAGCGATCCATCAAAATTGTATAGTTGAAAATTCAGCCGGATTAATAGATGGTGTCGGCGTTTTCTTAGCCAGCTGCTACTTGCTCGTCTATCAATAATCTCGACGCTGCACACGGGCTGCACGTGTATATAGAAGGGTGCTGTGTACAGGAATGGAAGGGGGTCGAGACGCTCCACGGTCGTGGGTTAATTGATTTCCAATAGCTGGCTGACCGGCCTTCGTACCCCACGTAGATGCACGACCGTGTATCCGCTGTCCATGTCCTCACACAATGAACCATCGCTACGCTAACTGCCGGGTATGCTATACAGGCTGTTAACAAACCGATGGTTATTCGTTTGGAGATTTCTTCAACGTCTTACACTTCCGTAGAGTCTGGCTAATGCATGACTCGAACACCCTCGTTAAAGGGTTAACGGTGTCTCCTGGCTTCACGTTAAAGTACGACCATTATTTTTGAGCAAACCTGTACATTCTGAATAGAGAATTCATAGGTCCGTATCGTTGTACGACGGGAGTTAATTGGATCTTAAATACATCAATGCGCTCCTCTGCCTTATTTACCATCCTAGCCCGTTCCTTTTCCAACCGTGAATGATTTTGTTGTTCCTGCTACGAACGTGCTCGATTACTTCGTAAAAGGTCGATAAACTGGACGATTGAATTGGAGATTCGGTAATTGCGCAATGGATTCGGAAACTGAGCGAGAATTTCGTTTGCCGGGAAATCGATTTAAGGGTGAATCTGCTGACGATGGGGACGTAGATTTTTGTGGTTCGATTAGAGACTGTATCGTGTTTTTTATCGTGTTCAAAGGTACCTTTTTTTTTTTTTGCCTTTCTATTCAATTGCTTCACACGTATCAAAATTATTAAGAAATCAAGTGACAAAAATTAATCAACACTTACCCCTCTGTTCAATCGTCTACGATAACCTCGAAAAGTTATATTTAGACGAATAAGGTTGCCAGCTGACGACATTTACATAAATTTGACTTTTTATCAGCTCTCGGTTCGAGTCGACGAGCAAGGGATTGAAAGTGGTGAGAATGCATCGGTGCTGTCGCAAGATCGATTAAAAATGTCGAAACGGCTGAACTGCCAGTCGCACGTGCATCCCCCACGGAAATTAGTCAGACTGCAGGCAGAAAGCTGGCAGCCTGGTAATGTATATATGCGAATACATATCAATATCAGTTAGGAATGTTCAGCACATAACGACTGTTCGTTTGTTCCACCGTGATTTTGACGTATCAATTATCAGGCTGTCTTCCAAGCTCGTTTGTTTTCGTCTTTTAACTGCTGGCTAGATTCCTCCCAAAAATTAGATTGATTCGTTATTAATGCGTTCATGATCAGGGATGGAGAGAAAGATTGATAAATGATAACGGGGCGAGTAATTAAAGGGGAACGAAATGACAACTGAAGAGGTTAATCAACTGAATGCACTGGCTCCATACGTCGCTTTAATGACTTCATCTCGTTAATGGCAAAGCCAGCCATCTTGCTTTATGAATATTAATGGAGCGTTTACATAGCCTTTTTCATTACACTTCAAGCTTCAAAATGATATGCCACAAGTGCCATTTTGCAGTACTTTTATGTTATGAAATGGTGTCAGATTTATACCGGAATGATTCTCCATGTTGAACGGAGGAAGATCGAGGGGTTGGGGCGACGCTGAGCGTCGTCAAAGCGGCGTCTCTAAATAGAGGGCAGCACTATGGTAAAATGCAGTACAATTTCAACCTTACCGACCGTCCGGATATCCGCGTTTGATACAGCCAGCCACGCTTTCAATTGAACGTAGCTCCTTGCTGGAAACTTGGAGCGGAAAGCTCGCATTCTGCTCGTAATCAATCGTCTCCTCCAGCAAACCAATTCTACTTATCAACGATACTTTTATTACCAGGGCAGATACATGGATAATCCGTGCAACTATCGAATTTTAGATAACTTAACACATTCAAATTTGAGTTTTTTAAAAGAAATTAAGAATTATTAATTAGTCTTCAGTCAATAATCGATGAGAGAGATCAAATTGTTAAGAATTTCTTAAGTGTATTGATTCTTCATCCCCTGTACCTAATACGAGGGGTTGTCTTCCCTAGGAAATGGCTAGATAGAGAATTGTCCAGCGACAAATTGGCAATTAGCATTTACGAATAGAGGCTAGAGACACCAATTAACGCTCGGCCTTGTTATTATCAGTTGGCACACCCTCGACTCATCTCGAATGGAAGAGGCTCCTTTTCTCCTTTGGCAGCCACCTTCGACCAGACCTCTCACTTGGTAACGTAACTATCTCCTCGAGAGGCAGAGGGGGTTGGAGTAGTTCTTACGACTTTGTCTGATTTCGATCGTCTTACCTCCTTGTATTGTACAAGCTACTTGTAGCAAAGAATTTACGACACAAAAAAAAATTGGGTACATGTGTTTCAGAATACATTTTATTGTACATTCTTACCTAGAACACGTCGAATAATCAACCCTCGTAAAAAAAAAAGGTTAGCCTTGAAATCTTCCAAAATTGTCCATCTATTTAAAAGGCCTCCACGATATCAGTAATGAATGAACCTTTTTATGTCTTTACAAATTATGGGGATAATTAACGTGGTCGCGTTAGGTAGTTCACCCTGTATGCGAAGCGATCATTAACCCATCATTAAAGCAAGCGTGGAAGTACAATGTGTACTCGCGTAAAATACGCCAGGTGATCGTAGACAGAGTGGCAGCATGTTCATGCGATTCATGGCGATTCCCATGTGACTGGGCGTTCATCGATCCAAGCTTGGTAATATAGTGTGAGAATTTTGCAGTCATTCTCACATTATTCTCGAGTTTTCTTTTCAATTATATTACAATTAGGACGTATCAACGATAAAATAGCAAATTCTCTTGAACATCCAAAAACCACCCCCTACATATTTTAGTTTTATTCATATCTAATTCGTTTTAAAATCGTGATGCGTCAGTTAGATAATAAAATTATTGAATATTGTAACAAATGTCCTTTCCATACATTCAATCCCTGCATTATCGAAAAGAGAAACAATCTTGTGTTACACGTAGCCTATGAAAATCCTCTTTTCCAGAAGGTAAATGAAAAAGCAAAGAAGATTTAAAGATTATCCTACACGTACCAGACCGTGTACAGGTTGCAATATTCACGAGTATTTATCGATCGAAACATGGCGAGTCACGATTCTCGACATATTTTTCCGCGTGCGTGTGAAACCTTGTCGTTTCCGCGCCTTTTTCCCACGGGTTTTCCACTTCTTCCTTCTTGTCCTCGCGAATGCGTCTCATCTATGAATGTCGTGCATCATTAACCCCCAGAACGTTAGCGTACGCACACGTATTCGCAGGCGTTGCAAAAGATAGGAACAAAGGGGAGGAACTGATGGAAATGGTCGGCTAATAAACTCATCGATTTTTCCGTTCTATCCAGAACCTCGAACAATGTTCTCGGGAACAGCTA